GTAGTCGTCACATCCGGCGGCGTTATGGTTGACGGCGGCGGGAAGGTTGTCACTGTGGTGGTGCACGGATGGACACAGTCAACCGGAGGGGTGACCGTCACGGGCGGGCATAATGTAGTTCCCATACAGGTTCCCGGCACCGTGGTCGTCACATCCGGCGGCGGGAAGGTTGTCACGGTGGTGGTACACGGATAGACACAGTTAGCCGGAGGGGTGACCGTGACAGGCGGGCATAACGTAGCCGCCGTACAGGTTCCTGGCACCGTGGTCGTCACATCCGGCGGCGGGAAGGTTGACGGCGGCGGAAAGGTCGTCACCGTGGTGGTACACAGATGGACGCAGTCCGCCGGCGGGGTGACCGTCACGGGCGGGCACGACGTGATTTCCGTGCAGGTTCCCAGCACAGTGGTGACGCTGCCAGGCGGCGTTGTCTCGCAGCTGTTGTAAGTTCTACTCAGAATCAGTCTGCCGTCCTTACTTGTCAGGATGTAGCCACATAAACGAACCGAGTTCTTGTAGACACTGTAGTGGCCCCAGAGCAAATTATCTTGTATGGCTGCACCTCGATAATAGCCGTAGGGGTACAATCAGCTGGATAGACAACAGCGGCGGTAGCGCTACCAACTGCCCATAGCAGAATCGCATTTCGACAGAGTCTGATCATAGTTCAAACCGTGAATTGAAGATTGATGATAACAAAAAGATAAGGTATGCCAGTTTCAACATTGAAGAATGAGTAAGATGCTCACAGATGTGTGATGAGTTGATGATTGTTTTATCGAGCTTTTCACCAGCACGAAGGAGGCTATATATACTTCTAACATCTTCTTCATATGCGTCTTTGGCCCACATCTTCTTATTCACGAATGTCGAATTGGGGTTTATAGCCAAACTGAAAACAATACGATAGGAACCACACAAAACACGCTAGTGAAACTCAATTTACCAAGTTTTGCTTCGGCTACTTCAGCTGTGGAAAGCCACTTTGCAAATGGAAAGGCTTCAAGTTCCGGGTCTCGATGAATAAGTTGAAGCTTGGCATGGCACCATATCGATTTGTAAGACATCTGTTCTACCATTTCTGTTGCGCCTGCCGGAGACTCCCAGTTAGTCAAGCCGCTGCAGGGGCCCGGGTAGAAATTGATTGCACCGGCGTCCCCGTGATTGCCTGCAACTACCCAACAGGCAATGAATACCTGCCTCCCAATTATGTCAAATAGAATTGACTTTGCGCATTTTGATAGGGATATAATAACCAGGAATTATAGTATGAATAACACAGTGAATTGAGCTTGATCGTCCCTGTGTGCCTATGCCGTTATTCCTCCCAACAATTGCTGACACATGTAATCCGAACTCTCAACTGGTGTTTGTCCAATATTTGAAATGAAAGAGAGGCCTGCTGGAGATCTGATTCGGGGTTCGTCCAAAGCTCTGGAATTATGGATATGTCGCACATGCATAGGAATGACGAATTGCTTATAGATTTGAAGATGTCAACAGGACGAATTTTGAGCGCATGTCTAGACAGTCACAGGTAGCATGTCATTTACAACCGAGTGTGTTATTTGTCTCCAGGGAAAAGCCTAAACTAGTAGCACGAATGCTGTCCAAATGGCAGCCACGTACCAGAGGGCGAAAACAGCAGAACCGGAACCCTGATCAAAGGCACTCGAAGAAACTGTAGGGGGTACCGAGCTGGGTGCGCCGAGTCCGTCGAGCGATGACAGAGTCGCAGGAGCAGAGCTGGTAGAGGGAGACTGCGAAGGTGAATCTCCCGATACGTCTAGCAGTCCTTATTTCAATTATTAGTTATGAAACGACGTTTTTAACAGTATTTATCGTACCAGAGGTGTGTTTCGACGTTGTTGCAGCAATTACTGGAACAGATGCCGCCTTCAAGACGATTAACTTCGGGATCGCAGGTATTTGTAGGAAATCAAGAACATACAGAGCAGTACACAATTTTTGTACTGGATAAGGTAGTGGTGACAGTTTCAAGCCCGACACAGAGAGAAACCAATCTCATTAATAAAGTCAAATTGTTGGCTCTCATGATCACGTTAAGAATTTTGCGTCTTGATGTTTGAACGAAAAGTTAGCTGAAAAAGAATGACAGTAATCTTGCCGTAGAACAGAGAGGCGGGCTTGGCTTCAGTTAGGCTTGCAAATCATCTAAGTAGTTGGCCGCGACTGATGAGTCTCATTAATAATGTAACGGAAATGTCGTACTATTCTTTCCAACCAGTTCGTCGTCATTTCACAAAATCGGCAAACTCCGGAGCAGTTTAAGCTTTTGAGTTCAAGCTATCCGCCGCTGGCAAAGGCTGGCTTGCCAGTTTTTCCGTTTCGGGGAAGTTCCCGAGGCTAGTCACGGCTTCGGCCGATGGTCTGATTTTGACAGCTGGTTCCGCTCCGCGCTACTTCAGGCTAAACTGGACCAACTAGTGCGAAAAAGCAAGTTGGACTGAATCGGCCTTGTAGAGAGGCTAGGCTCGTGAGTGTAAGCTATGCGCGCTGGCGCAAAACTCGTCAGCTTCTATGTAAGTTCTGAGGAAGTCCACCAAGGCTGGCCACTGTTTTGGTCGATGGCCTGCATTTTACGAATGGTTCTTGCCCCGTGCTGCGTCTGGCTAGACTGGACAACGAGTGCGATAGAGCCAGTGGGTCCTGAAGCGAAAGTTAGACGCCTCGTGAAAATAACCGCCCGCTTTGTAGTTCCGCGGAGTGACACTGAACCATGGGTCTGGCCGGACGGGCCATACTGAACCGTCAGTGTAGGGTGAGAGACATACACTTAACCAGAAGTGCTTTCCGGCAAGTGCACACTGAACTATTAGTGCGTACACACTAGCAGTTTATGCTTAATGGTCCACACTATTCGGAGCGCTGGAGGTGATACATTGCTATGGCCACAATCACAAGGTGTACAATGTAAGGGTAACTTGGGAGTCAGGACAGTGCTTGTTTTCTAGCTAATGAGAATGGGTTGAGGCAGCCATAGTGTACAGTAGCTAACATCGATCCTTTGGTCACTGATCAAATACTTCCTTATGGCCCATTGGTTATGTTCATGCTTCGATTCCTATCCTTGAAAGTCAGTGCCAATATGCTTGAATGGTGGCATTGCCTGGCAAGTGGCTTTGAAGCATAGCCTCTTGAGTTGGAAAAACTCACAAGCAAGAGTTTGCATATCGGTACACCCCTCGTATTCAGTCGTTCAGCTAATGGCTCGGCGAGTCAACCAGGAAGCTTGTATGATTCATGACGTTTGGTTCATTTCAGCCAGAACGCCGTCGGAGATAGTGATGCGAGGTTTTAGACATCGGGGACTTTTCGAGGCACACGTTCTTGGCGCGAATGACAAGCGGCCAAGTGATGGCTTGGCTGATGGTGACGCCTTGGCGCCCCATCTAGAGGCGCTAGCACGTACTGTCACGGCATCTAGGGACTGGTAATCGTACGATATAATATTTCATTCGCTTTCAAGTAATGAATGAATGTGAAATATTATTTCAACGTAGCATTCTTTACAGAAACGTACGCCGCACGGAATGAAGGCGCCCAATAGAGGGAGAAGGGTGTTGTGGCGCCGTGCTATTGACACATTTATCCACCGTGAGGGAGAGAGGGACTACTGTCGGAAAGTCCAAGTTGTAACACCGCGCGGTCCTAATCATTTATCGTCAGATGGGCGCTTCCCCAGGCGTTGTGCTACTCAAAGCTTCAACAGACTTGACACAACATCAGCCCTCCGGACTTGGTACGTAGCCGGGATACTTGATATCTGGATCATCCATGTGGCTTGTAGAGTGTATCCGAAGCCACAAGCCAGTACGGCATCACGCCAAGCCCTCATTTACCGATGAAACCGATGCAACACACCCCCGAAGGAAGCACAGGTGGCAGGCAACTCAAACATCGAAACCCAGAATGCCGCTGCGTGCTGCGGCATCTCTTTGAAGATTGGAACTTCCCGTGCACTGCGCGAAACGAACAATGCTTTCTGCTCACCAGCCATGCGGGTTGTCATTCCGTAAGCATGTATGACCGGCGACTAGGGCCAGCCTAGCACCCAATCCCTTGTTATTAATAGTTCTGGATCTCCTCCGCATACTCCCATCAACCGCTAGGGCGCGATGGAGCAACGGAAGCTCCGTTGGTTGACCACGGTCTGACCAGGCTCAAGTTCACCGAAACATCTCCGGAAAGCCACCGAAGCCCACTGCAGCACGTGTTGGGATCGGTAGCTGAAAGGCAGCTTGCCCCCGCTCGTAACCGTCGTTACCGGTCCCGCGGCGTTCCGCGGATGCCCGTCGTCTCGCAAGCTTCTCGGTCTGTCAAGACCGCGACCGTGACTTTGGTTGTGTAAATGTGGTATTTTGCCATTCTCTGAAGGAACTTTTTCATTGATGACAAATGGTGAAGAAAGATTACTCTATTGAGCTGTCATTTGGCAGACGTATGCGCCGTCAGGATCGCCTTGCCAGCCACCTGGCTCCTCACAACAGTGAAGAGGCCTATCAGCTCATGATTATTCGTTAGCGTTAGCACTCATGCATGGCTTATGTCTATCTTCAGCATGATTTCTATAATTACTTCTCCTTTTTAGCCATTGTATCCCTTGTAATCACCGTTTTCAGCCCATCTTCTGTTTTTTACAAGCCTGGTGGATCTTTTACCCCGCCTCGGTAAGGGTTCGCCACAAACGGAGGCGGCGCCTGTGCTGGACTGGATCCCTGGTCTTGGCGGTGGCCCTGTGCGTTGGGCGTGGGGAGCTAGTGACTCGCCGCTTCGGCCGAGTTTCCGACCCGACGGATTTGGCTTGCTGGGTGGGGAGTATCAGCGGTAGCAAGCCGGGCCAGGAAACGGGAAACACCACTTGTCACTACACCTGTCGTCGGTTGGGAGAGCGTAGGGGTGGTGAGCGGCAAACGTCGCAATCTCCTTGACGCCGACTGCATGAAGAAAAGGCGACTTTCAAACATCGCATTTTCGAGCCCATCAACCGATGTATAAGATGAGATTTCAACACGGAGAGTTTTATCGAGGACAGCATCGAATTAACCAACAACGCCGCAGAAAATCATGACCGTGATCAGACCCTGCTTGTCGTGCTTTAGAGAGGTCAAGTCAGGAAACCGGAGGTCCGGCGCAAGGCTGCAGCATCATGCGACGGCAGCCCCGACCCTTCAGTTCCGACTGACCCAGTCACTTGACTAGGACTGCAAAGCTGCGACTGGAATGCAGCACAGTGGCGTCTAGCTCAATGAGAACCTTAAAGGGTTACGGTACGGCTACCTGACTGCCACCAGCCGTTACCGCAGCTCAGGCTTCCCTTCTCAATTGGTATAGGGAAAGGGGAAAGGCGCAGCTGTCGCCAGCCTCCACCAGCCTGCTATAGGGCACTCGGCAGGCCGCGGCGTCGGCGACCAGGCTGGCCCTCTGTTGTTCGGAACATGTATCACGCTCGGACCCGCCAAGACCCCTACTAGGGCGTCCCGACAATCTGGTTCCCCTAAATTAGCGCGGTGGAGCGTACATCAGAATTCCATTGGTCAGCTACGTTCACCGAGGCATCATACAGAATGTGCCCTGCGCTTGGCCGGGGTGCGAGGAGAAGTGGAAAGCGGATAATGAGATCCACTACGAGGTAGGCACAAC